TATATATATATATATATATATATATATATATATATATATATATATATATATATATATATATATATATAGTTACAGTTCCCCCTGAGTGCCGTACCCCCAGGGGTAATTGGGACAGATCAGGAAGCCCACACAGAAGCCTCCACTCTGGGGAGGAACTAGCTGTGTGTCCCTGCTTGTTTACGAGACAGATTACAGCGCTTTCAGCTTTATCGCCACAGTGGGAGCCGAATGCTAACTATACACCTGGCACAAAGAGTGAGTCCAACACCAGCAAAACAGCCTCTGCTCAGCGTGTGTGCCAAAAAGTTAAGCAATTCCAAAAGTTTGCCCACTTAAATACTTCTACTGAATCAGCCAGGCTTATTTGTGCTGCTGGTAGAGGGCTCAGGTGAGCCATGCACCACTGCAACTGTTATTTCTTCATGACTGGGTTTAGTGCAGTTGCTAATGAATGTAGAGCACTGTCAGGGCACGGTGGCAAATTAGACAGTCAAAAATATCTCATCAGAGAACGAGAATTTAGCAAACCTCCCCAGAGGCACTATCCTCAACTGTAACAGCAATGCCAAACACTGCAGTTAATCTGGGTTGTGGTGCTGCGGATGAGTGTGTAGGCCGGACAGAAGGTGAAACAGGCCACCGTGAGAGTGAGATACGGTGAGTCATTACAGCTCTATCATCATTGTCATCATCACCTCTAGCTCAGAACAAGTCTATAGACCAGCCTACAGCGCAGGAGCACAGGAAGCTAATTCACACCAGAGCATCAACGCCACAGGGCTCAAAAGCAGCCAATTTTTCATCATAGGTCCTCAGTGCAAAGAAAAAAAAAAAACAAACACTGACATATACTGACACATATATGACATACATATATCTTATGTGAGAACTTTTGGAAGCAAACAGAAAACTTGTATTCACTTTTTAAAATACTCAAAGCAGCACTGTGCTCTACAGGACAAACATGCAAAACACAAAATAGTCCCGCAAGGTGACGGCACTAATGACTTTACAGTCTTCCATGATATGTGCATCTGATTCAACTTGCCAGCTAAATGCCAAGCCCTGAGTTGGACTGGATGTGTTAGAACAAAGTAAATACTAAACTGTGCAGTTTCGCAGACCTCCTGGACCTGAGATTCCACACTTGTGTGACGTGTTTCCAAATTTAGCACAAGCGTGCATGTATTCATTAAGACCACAGGTGTGAGGATATGTATCTCATTTTTGCAGAACAGCAAGTTAAAGATGTTCCTGTGATTTTAACATTTTACACCAATATTTCCATAACAATGTGTCAAAGAATCCCAGCAATTTTTGCTGCTTTGAAAATTTTCATGTATCAGAGGTCACCATCTATAAAATCCAACCCACTTGAAAGCAGAACTAGCTCAATACCGCTTCAATACATTTACTGTGGTCTCGCTTCTGCGCTTCTGCATGTTCGAGAAATGGACAACACTTCCCAGGAAGAACACAAGTACATAAAACTGTCAATGTGGACAATGGGACACTCTAAAATATAAAAATAAAAAATAAAAATAAAAAAACACGCTTCCATCTGGGTGGCCTTTCCCTCCCCCATTGTGTGTCGTATATTAAATCTAACAGTTAATGTTCAAAATAATACACGCTCTACACTGTTAGAAAAGAAGTGTCCAGGACTGTAAAAGTCAATTTTAATCCCCCAAGGTTCAAACAATGTAATTGAACTTTCAAAGGTCTAACTGTGCACCACAAAATGAGTTTGGAAGTACACTACATTCACTTTCCCAGGGGAAAGGTACATGTCTATTCCTTTTCATAACTTAAATCTAGAAAAACTAAAATAAAAAGCCTAGAGCCAAGATGTGGGTATATTATGTAGTCAATGCAACTTAAAAAATATAATTGCAGTAGAATATGATACAATCAAATTCCCTAACTAAAGGTAGTGAGAATGTACTGTTGAGGGTACCACCTTAGTGACAGTATTTGCATCATGAAAGATGCAGTTTTTTCTGAGAGTGTACAGTGGTACACACAACTTATGAAAACAACCAAAAACTTGTACTTCGTTCTAAAAACACCTAAAGCAGAGCTGTGCTCTACAGGTCAACAAATGTAAAACAGAACAGCCAGGACAAGAATGAATTTTTGTAAAAACACAACAATTAGCGGCCCAAAAAAGACCCTGTCAGAAACTCTGAGGACGTTCCTGACCTGGGAAAATGGAGTGCATCCCTGTGGGAGAGAAGAGACAGCATGTCACAGAGTGCCTGCTCCATTAAAGTCTGTCACAGTCTGACACACACAAATACACACGTGCATGCACACACTCACCGCACCCTCCCCGCCTATTAGAACAGTTGCCTACACATCTCTACAATAAACATAAGATGATTTTAATAGTAATGGCCATTTCCTCAGCTTTGAAAAAGGCAGAGGCAAATAAAGGAATAAAGATAGCCACTTTCAGAGAACAGTGGGAGTCATTGGGCGTGTTTAAATCCTGCCAGTCCAATAAATGTCTGGCTCAAGGGCATGGAGAATATCGGTGGACCATCCCCTCTCTGGTGGCCCATAATATGAGCTGTATATGTGCATGAATAGACCTAGGCTTGTAAAAAGGCAGTGCTGCATGTATCATTAGACCAGGTACTGAGACAGAGCAGAATGCTCCCTCATCCCTCATCACACTCATATACGTTCGACGGCCATGCTACTCCTTCACACACATAGCCTCATATATTCACAAACAATTTATCAAAAGTCTGCTGAAGGATGTGCAACTGAGTAAAAGCATTGTGTTACAATGAACTGCTGGTGTTAAAGTAGGCTCATAGCACACTTATTAGCACAACACATTTAAAGCGAAAAAATGACACCACATTTGGTGGATCAGCCAAGACATGTTTGGCTCTGAAGTTTTCTTCTTTGAGCACTGTGTGATTTCTGAAAACTTGTTCTTTGGTAACAACTCACATAATTAACCATTGTGTTGGCCAAAGCCAATCTATATGGTGCAGCAGCTTTCCTAACAAATACCACACTGTACAGTGAAAACTGGAACCAAGAAAATAAGATGATGTACATAAATAAACAATGATTTTATGATCAGAAATCTGATCAACTGACTGCTCAATTTGAACTCATTTGGGCAGTTCATTGGGCATCGCTAGCCCCCACACTGCATATCAAACAACAGGTGATGAAGCTGATATATATGCTGATCCTGAAGCTTAGGCTTTAGTTTTGCTATGAAGCCAAGAGGGTAATGTAGCTAACACGTAATGAAAGCTTATACCCCACCGATTAGCGCCATGCACCTGCAAGTCTAAATTGCCACAGATTTGCCTCAACCTGCGTCACGTTATTTCAAAAAAATTTAAAACAGGTTTGTGAGACTGTATGATACACTGTGATAAAAAAGAAATGGACAAAAGTATGAACAAAATTCAACGCTCAAGGTGGTTGCCATCACTGTTTTTAGCTATGCGATATACCTTTTTTCTGTTTTTATAAACAGTGCGTTGCACACCTCATTAGGGCAACTAACACAAGCAATTAAGAGGATATGTAAATTGATATGTATGCATGTCTATATTATGTATTATTGTGTAACCCTTGATGTTTGTAAAATAAACTAAAATAAAACCTGTTAGCATTTATACGCTAGATTATCTCCTAGACAGCCTTTGTTCTTTAATTATATTTGTTCATGTTTTCATTAATCTCTATTTTCTCCTGGAGGTCAATTGATGATAATTGTAAAATGAGAAAAAAAAAGGTTTGCAAACTTTAGACATCATGTCTTAGTTGATTTACAACATTTAGGATCAGAGAAAAATTGTGTGACTACAATTTTTCATCAAAGTGTTCTGACAGATATAAATTAACATGCCATGCAATTGTTATGACAAGACAAATGCTATTTAGTAGTGAATGGGAGTGAGATGATTGTCAGAGGTCAAGAAAGTCAAACGCATAGCCGTAGGACAATCTCTACTATGCTCCATCACTCATAATGGGCAAATAATGATTGTAATTAGTGCCAGACCGTATAATTAACATTATAATTGATGTTTAAGTCAACAGAGCCTTTTCCTCAAAACTCCTCCGGCATGCAAAATTGGCTTTACTGGTATTGGAAAATTTGCCCAAGCTGGGAGCAAAAACCAGACTGAGAGTAAAGTTAACATCTCCTTCCTGAGGCTGGATAGGATAACAGTCACACAGACAGCAACAGTAGCAGCACTGATGCTGAAGCCAGTTCTCCTCTAATCCCTCTCTCGGCTGCGTGCGCCTGACAGCAACAGCCGCTCCGAGCTGTGCTCTACGAGCCAAATTAAAGCTTGTGAGTGCAGTTTAGGCACGAAACGGGAAAGACCAAAGCTAATTTAAATGCCCTTCCAGTGGAAATATATCTTTTTTTTTTTTTCATAAACACAATCGATGTGTCATTGCCATGGCATATAGCGTTTTTGCCCTTGATGTGATTTTAGCATGGCCACAGGCACCCGCAATCCCCAACGGGGTCCTGAGAATGGCACTATTTATGTGGGTGTATGAATCAACATCAGAGTTTGCAGAGTCATGGCTCAAAGTGTCAGCATGTGTACAGTTAGTGTGTGTCATCAGTCAGGACAGAATATATGATATGTGTAGTGTAGACATGAATGAATCAGAAAACTGGGGAGACACTACTATTTTTTGTAATGCGAAGGATTTTTGACATGTCCAGGCTGAACCCGAAGAAATCTTTCATTTTCAGCTTGGCCTAAAATGACCCACTGACTTCTTGCTTCTTGTTTTCCTGAGCGCGATGGTAATTTTATGATGACTGATATTCCGTCAACCTGCTGTTTTCTCGTTTTTCAGGTTTATGGACTTTATAAAACCACCATATATACAGAGAAAGGGACTTGAAGGATAATTTAACAAAGCTAAGGCCATGGAGTAGCCCTGAAGCACTCAGCATCATAAACTCTGGTGTGATGGCAGGCTGAACAGTGTCTGACCTCATGCCGCGGGTGGAGCGGTTGGTGTAGTTCTGCAGCAGCTGAGGCAGGCCCAGCATGGCCTCAGACATCAGGGCCAACGAGCCCAGAGCCTCCACGAACAGCACCCAGTCCAGGAAGAGGAGAGTGACGAAGGCACACAGCAGCGTGAAGCCGAAACAGAACAGCAGATAGTCCTCAAAAGCACTCCAGCTCCAAAAATACCGCAGGTCCAGGTCTGCGAGAGAGAGAGAGAGAGAGAGAGAGAGAGAGAGAGAGAGAGAGAGAGAGAGAGAGGAGAAATTCATCTCAATATCCTCTTCTGGAACTGAATTTCTGGATGATAAGATATCCACAGATTTTCATATACCTCAGAAAATTTGAAAGCAGCATATTACTGGCATGCACTGAATAAATATCTCGCTGGCTGACTTGGACAACTGACTCAAGAGGCCCTGCTGAATGTGCAATGCGGAAGCCTAAATCAGCTCAGTGATCTGCCTTGCCTGTCTGATGCACTGTTCCAATGAAATGTGCCTCTGTCTCTCTGAACAAATATTCATTATTTTTGGCAGACCTGTTTAAGGATAATTGCACATTTCATTCATGATATCTTTAAAGGCAGTTCTTCCCTGGAGAACGCGGCAGCACTGGGTGCAATAAGGATTTATCTCCAGCACTAAAGAATCACAGCATTGTACAATTTAAAGTCATAGAAAGAATTAGGTGCACCGGAGCAGAACACTAACAGTGCAGCACTGTGGCTGTAAAGGACTGGAGTCTGACACCCTTGATTTATCACGTCTAAGTGTAAAGAACATACCGTTCCAGCACCAGCTAGAGATACGCCATCTGTGCAGTAGAAACTAGAGAAAGCTGGCTACCTGACCCAGACTAGCAGAGACAAAGCTTGTACTCTCACGAGCCTTCTCCACGCTACTGATCACAGCCATGTCCAACATCCAGACATGATCAATGACTACCTGCCTCTTTCCCACACAGGGCAAGCTGGAATGAGCTGACAGCAGCAGAACAGAATTGATGGCTAAATAAGAGCCCATTCGTTACGGCCCTGACTGGAGGGTGACGTTGCGTGGAGGAGAAGCGGATGTGCCGAGCTGTCATTAGACAGGTTCTGTTCTTCACACTCCGTCCACTACCCGCAGGCCTTGGTACCCGACAACCACTACTGTGGAAATGAGAGCAGTGGGCAACAAAGCAGTGAGTGAGACATCTCAATGTGAGCAGGGATTCAACTGGGACAGAACGCACTGGCAGAGCTTTCGGTTTAGGTGAATGGCAAGAAGAGCTAAGCTCTGGTGGTAGAATTTGATTGATTGAAATAATTTTTGATAAAATGTTTGCCAGATCTGAAACTATCCGATTTGATAAACCGTGTTGAGAGAAAACCGCCCAACAGCTGCACTCCAACTTACCCTCATCTAACAATCCATGATAATTTATTTTTCATTCTCCTCCTCTCATTTTGTCAACTTTCACAATCATCTTTTAAAAAGAACAGTTATTGTTAAAAAATGTGAAATAAATAAATAAATACATAAATAAATAAAAGCTGATTTAGAGTAATGCAATATACATTCCTGCCTCATAGTAGAACAAATTGACCCACTTTCCACATGACCATTGAAGCTAAAAAAGCAAAGATGCGGGCACTTAAAATTACTGGATGTTAATAATAAAAATCAGTGCAAAATTTGAGACAAAAGGTTAGTCGACCATTGAGACATGAATCATCCCAAATATGTAAGTATAATGATCTTTATCAGTACTGCCATGAGTCCAATACGCCTACGACTGAGCTTAATCATGCAACCGCATCAAGCAGCAATAATGTAGGAATGTTTACATGTTAGTTTTAGGTTGTGTGTGTATATATACAGCATATATTCACTGGGTTCATTTCATTTATTTGGGTGGAGGGCAGCTAGGAGCCGCCACTGTGTGTGCATGAGCAAAGAGAGTGAGAAGCGTGCAGACGTGAGCTGGATAGCGAACAAGCTGTTAGAAAAACTCTTATGTACGGCGTAGCTGTGGCCAACAACAGCTGCAAAATAAACCACCATGACTTGTGTGAAAACTGTTTCTCTTTTAATAGCGGTGAATGCTACAATACTCTTTTTTCTCCCTTTCTTTTCTAGTTAAAAAGTTTTATAGCAGCTGTAAAACATGACAGCATAAACAGCATATCTATTAATTTCAAGAAATTAAAATCACAATTTTTTTACCCCTGTATGAGAGAAGAGTAGCATCAATACATTGTTAGTACAGCACAGGAGCTGCTCTGCAACGACCTTAGCAACAACATGATCATCATATTTTAGTAAGTTACCATTTTAAATGTAGTTTAGAACACTATAGAAAGCAGGAGTGTGATTTGACTGGATCTCTGTGGAGTTTACATGAAAAACCAAATGGCTCAAGTTTTAAAGGATGTGAGACGTGTGTCTAGAGCAGCCAGTGTGAAATAAAACACTGATTAAAATGGAAACATATGTGTTCCACCAGACAGACACCTAAAAATGCTCCAAATACTATTATTTTTAAGCGCAGTTGTTCAAGTATTTGAGTAAATCGTCGCTCTTCTGGCCAAAACTAATTTTCATACAAGTTTTCAATTCTTCCCACTGTTTCACGCTGTTTCAACTTGCTACATAAATTAGTTCACTATGCCTCAAGACTTCATCTACACCACTAGGGGTCTGTGTGAAGAGTCTGCTAAACTGGGATTATTATCACTGTTTTTTTTACTGCTGTAATGTTACATCTAAAGTAATTCCAAAGCATTCTATTACATAGGTACATATTACAAAGGTAGTTAGAACGTTTGCATAGCCGAATAAACCTATCACCATTGAGTTAGCTGAATCTCTTTAGTTAGCTAATGAAAGAAACAGGGCTTCTCCACATCCAAAATCCCAACTTAACCCCTGAATGTGACTGAGTTTGAGCGGGTGGGTGTGTGTATGTGTTTATGTGTGAGTGTGGGATTAATGCTTCTCATCATCCAACAGCTGAGATGCAAAACCAGAAGAGAAGATAGGATCTGACCCTCGGGAATGGGAAAAAAGCGGGGGAGCGAAGAGAAGACAAGAAGAGCTCAGGGCCCCCTCCCACTGCCCTTGAAGAGGACGAAAGGAGAGAACGGAAGAAGTAAGCAATAAGAATTGGCACAAAAGTGCAGCAGACAGAGAGTGGGAGAGGGAGATTTCGCAAGAGGGAAACACACACACACACACACACACACACACACACACACACACACACACACACACATACAGTGCACGAGTATGGCAGTGACTCCGTTCCTGGCACATTAATATGATGTGCAGTGACAGACGTAGGTCCTGATGGAATGCGAATGGTAGGCTTGGCAGAGCTGTGAGGGCTTCATTTTTCACCTGTGCATAGAACACGATTGATTCCTCCTCTTCTCCAGCAAGGCATTTCCAGCTAGAGGGCCGAGCACTGCCCTTTGTCAGGAACATGAAAGCTCCATTCCGCTTTAAATAAAACTGCAGAATGCGCTGACAACAGCAGCGGCTTCACTGGGATGATGGAGGACCACTCTGCACTCTCCTTCATCTCACGTCTGTCTCTAACCACAAAAATTGTCGTTTTGCATCTTTTTAATACATCGGGTTTAAAGAAAAAGAGTTCAATTAACTCTACGGACCCTAGGCTTATTAATGAGTTTTTAATCTTAAGGCTTATTATTCAGTAACTAGTATGAATTATTCAGTATCTACTATAAAACTAATACATAAGTTATATAGTAATGAGAATGAAGAATCGAAGTGTGAGCCCACAAACAGGCCCTTAGGGTTTACGGAGTTAAATTAAAGAGAGAGATAGAGTGATTTCTCTTAAGCTTCTGTTCACAATGGCCCTTTCTAACCATGTCCCTTGTCTTGCAAGCCAGACATTTGGTTATCACCAGAAAATCTGGTAGGTTTTGTCTGTGGACAACTAGAGACCGCTGTTTTGTGTGACGTGTATACATGTACATAAAATTAAACCCGTTTTCTTGCACTGATAGTACTTTAATAATGCATGTATGCATGTATGTTAGTCTTCTGTGCTGTCACAGTGAAATTTTGTAAGTTGTCAGAAACTTCATAAGTGTTTTTGTTTGGTCAATATACTTCTGTTGAGTAAAAGTCAAGAAGTTTCTGACTGGCTCTTACCATCATCTAGTTGCATATTGTTTTACTTATTTTATTCATCCTCTTTGCGTGGTTTTTCCTTCTGGCCTACCTTCCATTGTATGTGCATCTTTTGTATGCTTCTTGGTAAATGCGGAATTTCACTGATTTTTCAAAATTTATACATAATGTTTAAGTCATTAAGAGTGGTCTGATATGAAATGCTCAGTTCTTAACTTATTGCATCAATATTGTTCACAGTGATGCAGATAGGAAACTGGACATCTAAAGAGTTTAATGCCTCTAAAAATTCCCTCACAGAAAATTATATGAACTTATTACAAATTTCTGGCCTGATGCCTGAGACACTGATTTACAATAGTTCTGAGAGACGAATTTGACCTAACGTATTTTTTTAAGTGTATTCAGGGAAGAATGGTACATGCAGGGTGCTGTGAGTCAAAACAGCCCCCCAGATCAGATGTACCACTAATTTACCATTTATCTACATCACATATACAAACTGAGAAGACGTGTAGGTTCACTGGTGGTCTTGCATAGTATATAAAATGGTTATATTTGCGTTGCATACATGGTGACCCCTGGTTTCTATAACCACTGCAAAGAAATCTGAAAAGAGTTAGCAAGTTTCTCTGCAATGAGCCATTTCACATCAAACCTCTTTAAATGACTTTGTTTACATCTCAGGGGGTGAATTATATGTAAATTCTAATAACTTGGAGGAATTTCCCTTTAACTTCCTAGCTATGTTGTTGTTCGCTGAAAGACTTACCAAATACCATACTACTAAGGATGACTTCACGACAGCTCAGTAGTGCAGTAACAACTAAACATGTACATCTAATTTAAATCTAATAACTTGTGTTGCTTTTTACTTTAATCTTACTACTTTAATTAGTTGAACACAACTATATTGGGCTGAATGCTAGAGCAGTGTGAAGTATCAGTTGAGCTATTTGGAATTTACTTAACTCATGTGTCATTTACTTAAACTTATTGAGTACATATTAATCAGTCGATCATCTTAGAAAATACTTGACACACTAGCTTGGAA